GAGGGTGAGGCTGGGGACAGACAGGCTGCAGGGTGCCAGGGGCCATGCTGGCACACGGTCTGGGGAGGATCTGGAGCTGGACGGGTCAACGTCTCGGAGGACGCAGAGAAGGGACGACGACCTGGGTTCTCCACTGACCCACTCTAACTCGGAAGCCAGAGCCTGTGGCGTCAGCACAACAGAAGCACAGGCTGGGCAGCGCACTGCACAGCGAGGGCACAAAACCCTCACACAGAAGTGTCAGCGGACCCAGCTCAGCAGTAGGAGAGCCCGGCAGTCCTCGGGGGCCAAATGAGGGCTCTTCGCCCAAACAGAAGGATGCGGATGTCCACCTCCACCACACATCTGTGAGGTGACAGGAAACACTGTGGCTTGGGTTGGGGCAGCTTAGTCCTAAGGTGACATCTCTGCTTTGTAACCTATGAAGAGTTCTTGCACGGTGGATTTGCCCAGTGCGATGTGTGGTCTGATCTCGATGGCTGCTTCCATGAGCATTGATTGTGGATTCAACTGGACGCAATCCTTGACAACATCAACCTTTTTCCCGTTTGCCAAGATATTGCCTGTTGGTTCGGGTGGGGTGAGGATAGGGGTCTCCTTCCCATGGAATGGTGATCCACACGGAAGGCTGACTTCCTTGACCTTCATCCATCAGGGCTTCGTGTCCTTGTTTGCAGCAAGCACAGTTGTGTCATCTGCAGACCGCTGGTTATTAATAAGCCTTCCTCCGATCCTGATGCCGCATTCTTCCTCATCCAAGCTCGCATCTCTGATGTTCTTGGCATACAGAATGAACAAGTGTGGTGAGAGGACACAACCCTGACGCACACCTTCCCTGATTTTAAGCCCTGTTTAAATGACATGTCATGTGAAAATCAAGAACAAGAGTTTAAAGAATGAAAGAGAAAAAGATCTGCAACCATTACAAAGGAGTCAAATGGATCGTTATTGTTCCTTATGCGGATGACAGATAACATACATAAGGAGTCCAAGAGAATCAGGCGACTGGCTACCAGCAATGACAGAAGTAGCTGTAAGCCCTACGATGTACTCCCAGGAGAACGCATTAGGAGGTGAAAAGAATGTAGACACTTTGGTCTCTGGGAGCTGGGGAAGAGAAGACTGTAGCCGTTGCTTTAAGAAGAGGAAGATGGCGGTGGTTTCGGGCAAGAACTAAAGAGGAGGGGTTCCCCGGACCTTGGGGGGGGGCATGGAAGAGGGGGAGTCACGGCTATGAGCCCAGACAACTGCTGGAGCAGTTCTGCTCGAGGGCTGGCTGCTGGATGGTAGGTATCACATCGACGAGCAGATTACAGAATGGGAGGTGAGTTTTACAGAGACAGTTCCCAAAGCAGAGATGCCTTCCCTCTGAAGCACAGGCAGGTTCCGGGCCATCCACAGACTATTGACAGAGGTGGACGGATGGTGCGGACACCAAGGCGCCCAGGGGTCAGGGCCTTGTTGGACTGGTCACGGCCATGGGGAGTGACAGGGACAGGGCTGGACCCCAGACAGCACGCTTCTAGAGCCATCTCAAGGAAAAACATGAGGAAGGGTCTGAAAAGACCTCAGGGACCTGCAGTGAAGGCTGGTCACTGGGGCAATTCCCCATCCTCCCGCCCCACGGGGCAGAGTGTAGGCACCCCTCAATTACAGGAGGAAACATCGGAGAGCTTCTCGTGGAGGAGGTAATGAAAAGACCAAGGAATGTCTTCACACATTTGAAGCTCCCTCCCTAATGTGGCCTTGGTTCCCGACCAGCACAGGGGTTGTAATAAAATGAGGCACTGTGCTTTTTAGTTCCTTGGGAGCCCTGGTGGGGTAGTGGTTAGGAGTTGGGCTTTGATCTGCAAGGTCGGCAGTTCAAACCACCAGCCAGCTCCTCAGGAGAAAGACAGGGCTTTCTGCTCCCGTAAGGAGTGAGTCTTGGAAACCCGCAGGGCCAGTTCTACCTCGCCCCACAGGGTCACTGTGAGTCAGCATCAACTCGATGGCAGTGAGTTTGGTTTTTGAGTGTCTATAACAGTGATGATTACATCAGGCTGTACTCCAGAGTGTGTGTAACAACACCATGAAGACCAAAATGGCACGGAGACACAGAGCGAGTGCCTGCTGGTGGAGACATGGTATCCAGACCAGCTGACGATGGGGCAAAGGCACCATGGACCTGCCACATGTAAAATCAAGGCGTCTAGGAAGAAATGTGAAGTGAGGGGTGCCCGCAGAACTGCCCCCTCGGGCTGCCGAGGACTGTAATGGAAGCCGCCTGCCCATCTCCCTCTGCCGACCTCTGAGCAGCCAGCCTCTTAGCCACTGCGCCACCAGCAAGCTCCCTGTTGCAGCATCAAAGTGAGAGAGCGCAGTGCGAGTCACTGCGCACCAAACCCCAGGCTACCAACGCCCCCACGTGAATGCCGGGGAACGGTCTGCAGCAGAGGCGCCCAGTGCCCTTGACGCAGACACAGTTCTGTGGTCACTGGGCTGTGAGCTAAAGAGGCTGGAGGTTTGAGTCCCCCCAAAGGCCCTTGGAAGGCAGGCTGGGGACCTACTTCTGAAAACCCTGGGGGCCGTTCCGCTCGGTGCCTGGGCCACCGTGATGCTGGCAGTTGTCCCCTCTTCACTTCCACCCACAAACCTCGGTGACAGTCCCACCCTCTCAGGAGCCACCCGGGGAGAGCAGCAGGGCCCACCCACCACCTACCTGTGGTCGGCACTGGGCCTCTGCCTCCCATTCCAGAGTCTTCTGTTCACAGAGGGCGGGGGTGGCTTGGAGGGCAGGGGCGGGGCCGGTGAGGAGGGTAAGGGTGGAGGTGGCGAGGAGGGCAGGGGAAGGGGAGGCAAGGAGGGCAGGGGTGGCAGGCTCTTCTCTCTGCGTACACCGATGTCTGGCAGCCCGGCCCCGGCCCTTTCACCCTCGTGTTTGAACGTCCTCCGGGGCTTGGGCAGCGGGTTGATGAAGGCCCTTGGGGGTGCCACCTCATACCGCTCGTACATGCTCTCCTGGCTCTGGTTCCAGGTCCTGGCAGGCTTGGGGCTGGGCTCCCGGGCCCCCAGGTCCAGCAGGGTGCGGGCCTCCGGAGGGCCCGGCAGGCAGATGGGGGAGTAGCAGATCCCGGGGGGCTGAGGGTTCAGGCCAGCAGAGCCATCCCTCAAGGCCTGCTCCAACTTCCTGACCTGCTGCAGCACCGACAGGCTGTCCTTGGGGGGGCCCCCGCCAGGCCTCGGGGCCACCTGCTGCCCTGCGCCTCTCGCTGGCTCCTGGCTCCCTGTCCCCTGTGTGCTCTCGGAGTCCAGCCGGGCACCAGGCTGGGCCTCCGGGACCCAGGCCCTCGGGCTGTCACTGGCTCTCCTGCCGGGCGTGCAGGCCACCAATGCCTCCTCGTGTCTCCTGTGTCCATCTGCACTCCTACCCAGGTCTGCCGGCTCCCTCTTCCCCTCCCACTCCCAAATCTTGTCTCTGACTCGGAGGGAGCCCTGGCAGGCTCTGGAGGCAGAGTGGGTGCTCAGGGACCTGCCAGTGTCCCCTGCCTGGAGTTCGGGGGCTGGGGCGCTGAGCACCTCGGCTGGGCTGGGCATGCTTGGCTCTTGGGCGGCTGGGGGGGAGGCTGCTCTGTAGGCTTTGGTTAGGAGTGTCCTTTGGGAAGGGGGTATCTCTGGCGCAGGTTCCAGGGGAGGGAGGGGGGTGTCTTGATGTGCCCCCACTGGAGGGCGTCAGCGACTGCCTGCGTGGTCCTGCCCCAGCCCTCGGGCCTTCCACCTTGACCCTGAAGGAGAGACACACACTGTGAGGACAAACACAGAAGGATCACAGCTGTCCTGGCTCCACCACTTCAGCCTGCCCAAGGATGTTTCTCTTGGTTGCCAACTCAGCCAGCAGGGTGAGCACAGGGAGGGCTCTGGGGGTGGGTACACCCCGTGGAAGTTCCAGCCCAACCTCCGACCAGCTGTGACCACCGTGTGGCCTTGGACAAGCTGCCCTCCTTCCCTAAAGCCCTGTGACAGCACATCAAGGAGCCCTGGTGGCACCACGAGTCAAGCACCGGGCTGCTGGCTGCACGGTTGGCAGTTCGAACCCGTGAGCTGCTCCACGGGGGAAAGAGGAGACTGGCTGCTCTCATGAAGATTTAATCTTGGAAATCCACAGGAGCAGAAGAGAAAGAATTCACCCAATGGCAGTGTGTGGTCTGGTCTTTGGTTTTAAGAGCACGTTATCTTCCAAGGGCTGCTCGCAGCCAGTGACCCTGCGCCACCTGCATGGGTGTCCAAATAAGTGGCCTGTAGGGAGTATCGCCCTGCCCCGCTATGAGAACAGGAGCAGTTTGGGAGGTAGAAGTAGCATCCAAGAGGAGAGGTGGTGGAGGCCGGTGTGTGAGCGAGAGAGGAGAGGAAGAAGGTGAGTCCTGGGGACAGCGAGGAAGCTACGGCAGCCTGCAGCAGAAGGGGCACTGACTGGGGCAGGGAGGGGGCTGCCTGTGCAGACACTGGGGGCAGCGGGGACGAGCTGGCTGTGGCCATGCAGAGGTGATACATCCCTACACCCCTGCAGCCCATGGACATGCACCCTGTGCAGAATGCTTGGGTGGGGGCCCACCCTGAGCCCCTGGCCCCCCTTTCAGTACTTGGCCACAGCTCAGCCCTGGAACACAGAGAGAGTCCATCCCAAACAGCAGCCTCCCCAAGCCAAACAGTGGAACCCATTTGGACGCCGAGCTGTGGCGCAGGGCAGAGTAAACTGCCCCTGCGGGTTCCCAACGCTGCTCTCTCAAGGAGCAGGTGGCCTCGTCTTCCTCCTGCAGAGCGACGTGTGGGTGGGAACTGCTAGCCTTTGCGGTAGCAGTCACGTGCTTTAACCATATGCTCCCTGAACAATAAACGGGCCGATCCTGCAGTCAACAGGGAACCTCAGAACAACCAGCCAGGAGAGGCCACAGGGCAGCTCTGCCCAAATTAGAGGTCGGATGGCAGGAAGGGCTGGTAACAGGACGCAGGAACCCAGGGAGGCAGTGGGGGCAGTGCTGCGGCATTGAGGGCATTGCAACCGGTGCACAAATTGTTGGTTGGGAAAGGCTGCTGTGTACATGCTCCCTCAAAGCACGATGAAATGTTCTTAACATAACACAAGGGCCTCCAAACCAAACACACTGCGATCCACTTGATTTTGACTCAGAGCAATCTTGTAGGCCAGAGCAGGGTGGCCCCTGTGGTCTCCCTGGGGTAAATCTTCACAGGAGCTGACAGCCTTGTCTTCCTCCCTCAGAGCAGGTGGTGGGTTTTGATCTGCCAACCTCGCCGTCAGCAGCCCGGAACAACAAACCCCAAACCACACTCACTGCCATCGAGTGGATTCCGGCTCTGAGCGACCCTGCAAGACAGGGCAGAACTGCCCTTTGGGTTTCTGAGACGGTTACCTCTTTACGAGCAGAGAGCCTCGTCTTTCTCCCAAGGAGTAGCTGGCGGCTTCAGACTGCTGACTTTGTGGCTAGCGGCCCAACAGGTAAGGAACGCACTCCGTCACCAGGGCTCCTTATAACAAGGTGAGTGAAATTAAACCATTTTTACAGACCAAGGAAATGGCACCCCCCCAGTTCTTGGCAGTGGGTGTGGCAGGGAGGGGGCAGGGAGGGCCAGTGCAGCCCCAGGAGCCCTTACTTGGGGGCCGACCTGTAGTGCTCCCACTCAGTCCAGCGGCGTTGCCCTCGGAGGTCCTGGGCCCCGTCATCCTGTCAGTGCTGGGCAGGGCTCCGGGTCACCTGGAGGACAGATGCTTGTGAACCACCGGAGAGGAGGAGGCAGGCTTCCCCCACCCCCTCACTCTCTCCCAGGAGCCCCCGAAGAAACAGGGGGCCGGGCAGAGTCTTGAGGGTCACTTGCTGCCAGAGCCGTGCCAACTTCTCGTCATTATGTTATTTTAGCTGAAGTCGCCACAAAACGGAGGCAAACGTAGAAACGCTGAAGAAAATGCCACTACCACCAGCAGTGCCCCTGACCAAACCAAACCAAACCTCACTGCCATCAGTGGGGTCCAACTCAAGGGGAGCCTCCAGGACAGAGTGGAACGGCCCCTGCGGGTTTCCTGGGGCGATCAGTCTTTACGGGAGCAGAAAGCCTCATCTTTCTGCCGTGGAGAGGCTGGTGAGTTTGAACTGCCCACCTTGCCCGGGGGTCCCTGTTATCTGCCCATTACACGTTACCCTTAACCCTTCACAGAAAGGAAAACTTTGTGATCAAGACTATTCTGGGGAAATGCTGAAATAACTAGGAAAGCCATAACCAGCCCCCGTGGTCAGAGGACAGAGAAGTATATGGAGAACCAAACCAGGCCACCTCCCACCATGCAGGTGGCTGCACCCCCTTCTGCCACCTTCCCCATGGGCACTGCCCTATGGACGGCATCGCATGTACACCTGCTCACATGACAGAGTAGAACTGCCCCCACCCCCACCCCTTGCCCCGGCAAAAGCAGAGGGTTGGGGATCACACCAGTAGACACTGTCAGAGGGGCTGTGTGTTAGTCTGGGTACTTTAGAGAGACAAATTCACAGAAACCCATGTGTCTGACACCAATCCACAAAGTCCTCCTCCATCTCACAAAACACATGCAATGACGCAGACTGCAGAAGGAAAGCTGAATCAGTGAACGTGTAAGCATCTCAGCGCTGGCAGGGGTCTCCACACGGGTGCTCTAGCATCCAGGGCTGCATCGGGGTAGGTCCATGTGGCTTCTCCTTGGGGATGTCTTGCATGAAGTGAGCCTTGCCAGCTGAAGCAGGGAACTGGCTAAGGCAGCTGCACCCTAGTCCGACCATCACAAAGCAAGAGACCCGAGAACTAGAAAGGCGAGGCTCACTGAGCCATTTATCCCTCCGCCCTTGGATTAGCCCCACATATATTTATCGGCCAGGTTGGCACAATAAACCTCAACTATCTCAGGCGGGTACTAAAATGACTGTCCGTATTTTTCACACTGTTTGGTAGAAGTGAATGATTTTTTAAAAATCAAAATATCCCTATGGTGAACTATAGCGACCAAAACTTCTTCCATAAGTGGAGCTTCTCAGCTCCAAACTCACTGGCATCAAGTCAATGCCGGTTCGTATGGACCCTATAGGACCGGACAGAATTGCCTCTGTGGGTCTCTGAGACTGTCATTCTTGACGGGAGTAGAAAGCCTCATCTTTCTCCCTTGGCACAATTGGTAGTTTCAAACTGCTGACCCTGTGGTTAGCAGCCCAACATGGAAACACTATGCCACCAGGGCTCCCTGAGCTCAGCTTCCATATCTCAACACACTCTGTGCTCATTTACTGGTCAGAGCTGTCACTAGGACTCAGGAGATGCTTGGAGTCACCTCATCAAGAATTACAAGCGCATTGTTGCTGGTGATGTTTTTATAAAATAGCTAGGGGAGAAATCCAGGAAGACTTTTGCTCAGTGACTAATAATGTATCAGTTCAGTGCGGGCAGACTTCACAGAGCCTTTCAGTTGTTAAAAAACAAAAACAAGGGAGCTGATATCAGGGGCTCAAGTGGGAAGGGAATGCTTTGAAGATGATGGCGGCATGTATGCAAATGTGCTTGACACACTGGATGAATGTATGGATTGTGATGTAAGAGCCCCCAATAAAAGTATTTAAAAAACAAAACCAAGCTCACTTCCATGGAGTGAATTCTTACTCATAGTGGCCCAACAGGACAAGACTGAACTGCCCCTGCGGGTTTCCAAGACGGTAACTCTCTATGGGAGTAGAAAGCCTCCTCCTCCCTTGGAGAGGCTGGTGGTTTCGAACTGCTGACCTTGTTGCTGGCAGCCCAATGCATAACCACTATACTACCAAGGCTCCCTATTCATTTGGTTGGTGGTGGTTACATAATCTAAGCCAGTGTCAGCGTCGGTCTCTCGGGAGGCCCATCATCTTCTTTGAATAAAAAGGTGTCAAGGACATTGAAGTGGCTGCCCTGGACCTTGACATATGAGTTTAGTTTTTCTGTGCTGCCTCGGAATAACACGCCAGGGTGCATCTTGCAAAACAGCAGCTGCCCTGCTGGACCGGACGTCCGGGCTGCACCTGCACGAGGGACAAAGCCTTCGGACAGCATGTCCTCTGTGTACCAGGCTAGGAGTGGGTGGGGCAGTGCTGAGCAATAATTAGTCTCCCTGTTCCTGGGGGCTTTGCTTTTCAGCCTAGAAGAGCCCTCCACCGGCATCAAACAATAATTATTTGTTCACTGAACAAGCAGGGAACTGGCTAAGGCAACTGTGCCCTGGTCCGACCATCACAAAGCAAGAGACCCGAGAACTAGAAAGGCGAGGCCCCCTGAGCCATTTATCTCCCTGAGCCACAGTAAACTAACTAACTCACGTGTGGACGGATGGGTAGGGATTATGCCAAGTAGATGAACAGGAAGCGGGAGGCCGGAGCACAGACAGCAAGGGCCCAGGCTGGCAGGATGCAGAGGTAAGAGGACTCCGAAGGGGCAGGGTCCAAACTATCAAACTCGGCACAGCCTGACGATACCTCCTTGGGGGTTGAAACATTCTGTATGAGTGAGAGACTGAACAGAGTCCAACTTTTTTCGGCCCTTCGCCTTCTACCAGAGCTGGATCTCATGCCCTCGACCTCCTGTCACCGTCCTGCCCATCCAAGGAGCTGACAATGGACTCTCGCTGGTGGAGCTAGCAGATTTCAGTACCCCCTGCTGTCTCTGTTTCATGGGCCTGCTTCCTGTTTGTCAGCTCCCACAGTTCAAGAGAAGCCTGACTGGAGCTCAACTGCACGTACCCACTCCTACAAGGACGCGAGCCATTTTTTGATAGCAATCTCGTTCTATCAGACAGACGTCACTGGTGTTTCTGCCCTAGGGAAGCCGATCTTCCACGGTGGGCGACCAAGGACAGGAAAGATTACGGGTCGGCACTCACTCACCTGGAAACGTAGGAACTGTCCTTTTTGCAGACAAGGCTAGCAGGCGTGTTGCACAGCCCCGGACTCTCTTGATCTGCTGAGGCAAAAGGAGCAGTGGCCTGTGCAAACACTTGCCTGCCTTTTGCTCTCTACTGTCCTGACGGCTGCCTCACCTCCTCACTGCGCCCAGCCGGCGACCATTCAGGTTGGCCTACACTTTGAAAGTTGGGTCTGATCCCGTGCTGCTCCGACGGCCACAACTGACTAGTCTAAGGCCCTGGTTCTTCCCTGACTCTCCAGCAGTTAAGCTTCTTCCATGCACTGCCGGCTGCCCACTCCGCCTGGGTCAGCATTATCGCTCCTCCCGCTTCTCCGGGGCGTGAGGGTGCTTGTCTATGATCCTATGGTTACTCCCATGTGACAGACTCGGGCAGGGGTCCAGGTTTCCGATTCAAGTCGACTCTCGACCAACGGGTCCTGCTGGCACACTGGTTCAGCACACAGCATTGTGGAGGAAAGGCCTGGCCGTTTGCTCCTGTAAAGATGATAGCCCAGGAGACTCACTCCCTGGGGCAGTTCAACCCCACCCCCCTGTCTCGTGGGGCTGCTCAGAGTCAGAATTCATCCCACAGCTAAAGAGAGTAGAGCCAGACTAGCTTATCAGTCTGCACATCTGTCTCGGTCAAGTCTTTGCTATCAGTATCGTGCTGAATTTCCTAACCTCTTGTGTCCGAGCTGGGGGTGGATAAAGGTGTGTGCGGGTCTGACAGTTCTGTGATTTCTTTGAGGATATATAGATAAACAAGTGTCCATGTGCACGCATACACCGTGGAACAATACTACACAATACCACGGAATAGCAAAGAAGCTATGTATACCACACCTCATGACGCGGGAGAAACTGGAGACATGGTGCTGAGAGAATTAGTCAGGCACGAGGACCCATATCCCATGAGATCACTGTTAGGAAGAGTCAAGAGATTGTCACACTAAAACAGACCGGCTTTGATAGTGGGAGGGGACAGGGGAGTCACAGGCCAGGGGGTGGACAGCTGTCAATGAGGCTGCAGGGGAAGACAGTATCCCACAAGGGGGCGTGGGCCCCATATGATGGCGACAGGGCCAGGCAAGGGGAGGTTTGATGAATCAGCTGTTGAGTGAAAAAGCCATCTTTTGCTCACTAACCCTTCACCTAATTCACAGTAAGGTCAGAAAAAGAGGATCCTGAACTTAGAGACAAGACACGACAGGGCATGCATAGCTATTGGTAGAGATGGCATCAGGTGGCCCCCAAACCAAAAGCTATCCTCAAGCCCTGGCCACCTGGCAGGTGGGTTTTCTTCAGTTATGCTCATGAGGTCCCAGCAGAGGCTCTGACATGTGGGCTAATATCGGGCTTACGGACTTGATCTGGACTGGCCTGAGATGTTTTCTCCACGTTCAATTGCTCTTGTATATGGCGCTCTGTCTTAGACACATAGAGTGTCTATGAATTTGCTTCTCTAGTCCACCCAGACTAACTCGAGGGTGGGGGGGAGGCACGGAGGGTGAGGGTGATGGGTGAGAGGGGTGGGGGGGAGGAGGTGCTGGTAAGGGATGAGGGGGTAGGAGTATGGGACTCCTGTTTCCGGGTGCTAAGAATGTTCTGGTTTGTTGTGCTAATAGCTCTACAGCTCTGACTCCAGCAGAAGCCACTGAGCCGTGTGCTCAATTGTATGTGGAATCCAGCTCAGTGAAGCTGGTACTACAAAACCCACACCCGCCCAGGCTGGCAAGTGGATTCCAACTCACAGCAATCCTGTGGGGTTTGGGGAGCAGGCAGCCTCGGCGTTC